GCCATTCTAAAACCGCTCTATTTTACTCATAACTCTCTGAATCATTAGTATTTCAGGCTAAAATTTTCCACGGTTGGTCTCTATATGAAGGTAAATGATTATGGAATGTATGAGCAAAAACAGTTCAGCCACATCTGAGTACAAGAAGAATATAAACAATTTGTACTTTCTCCATTAATGAAATATTCTTACAACTTTATTTTGAACAGTTCTGCAGTCAAAATGGCTGATGGTAAACATCTGAAATTTGTATGAATTTGGTAAGATACTGTATGGTTCAGGGGAAGAGACCCACTCTAATACCCCTTTGCAGCTCTGTAACTGGGGAAAGGTGCAAACTTCCTAAACATCCCAGTTTCTGCAAAGACTTACGTGTGTGTTTAACCTTAAGCATGGTGTAAGACTTTGCAGGATTGAGGCCAACATCTGCAGGAGATATGATCTCTCTTTCAGATGTGTGGGACAGAGAAAATGAGTAGAAAATCTATTTACCTTTGAGCAAAACATGAAATGTGATTTGTTTTCATAAGACTATTAAATATGACTTTCAACACCAGGGATAGCTCAGTGGTTTGAGCATTGGCCTGCTAAACCCAGGATTGTGAGTTCAATCCTTGAGGGGGCCATTTAGGGATCTGGACATAAATCTGTCTGGGGATTGGTCCTGTTTTGAGCAGGGAATTGGACTAGATGACCTCCTGAGGTCCCTTCCAACCCTGACATTCTGTGATATATTTTTAAAAAATATTAAAAATCAGTGGGGGAGGGATAGCTCAGTGGTTTGAGCATTGGCCTCCTAAACCCAGGGTTGTGAGCTCAATCCTCAAGGGGGCAATTTGGGGCAAAAATCTGTCTGGGGATTGGTCCTCCTTTGAGCAGGTGATTGGACTAGATTACCTCCTGCAGTCCCTTCCAACCCTGACATTCTATGACTACATCCTTAGCTGCAGCTGAAATACCATTAATGTAGCTAGAAGAAGAGGGTAAAGGTGGTTGCAAGCCTGAGGGCTACTCTAAATTTACACTGTGATCTTTAGGGGATGCACCAGGTCCATACACTTTCTTGGGAAAACACCTCCTACACCGGGAGTCAGGAGATAAGGGCTGGTGCAGAACCAGTATGCAGGGATTCCTTTACATAAGGGGAATCCTCAAGGAGTAAGGTAAGTAGGCTTTCTGGCTGTTTTGCACACCAGAGTGGATCTGAGAGTCAGGCAGTAAGTTTTATAAAAGAAAATATGAATGATTTTTACCTCACAGACTTTTTCCAGTGTTGGCATCCATGAAGTTGCTAGGTGACAGTTTTGTAGAACTACCCAGCTGCCCTCTTTTACTGCCTTCTCTATCATTCGCATGGCTATAGGACCTTGGCCCTGTCCCAGCGACAGAGAGCTCAGCTTTGATCCACCATATCCCTGTACATAGAGAACACTTTTAGAGTGACAAAATTTTATGAAAGATTATAGAAACACACCAAACACTGACATAATTAACATCCACATTTTTGTTTGTTAAACAAGTATAAAACCACATTAAATTCAAACTAATTCAATAATATAAACTGTATTAAGTAAATTCAACACACACAAAATTTCTAAACTGGAAAAATCTGATCACCTCTGGATAAGAAACCATCTCTTATTTAATATTTAGTTTGTTTTGAGGACAGCATCTTTGGGATTGTAAACTGGATTTAATTTGGTTTCTAAAGGCAGAAGGTAAACCTTTCCTTGTTGATACTACTTCTGACAAGAAAGAGGAAACCCGAGAGCCTACGCAGCCAAGAAGACGAGACGAGCAGAGATGAATACAGAAGGTGGATTTGTGAAAGAGACTCACAGAGACACATGCAGAGAGAAGGAGAGATGGTTAAAATAACTGAGCAGGAAGTGGAAAAATGACCTAAAAGATGGGATGGCTCAGTGGTTTGAGCATTGGCCTACTAAACCCAGGGTTGTGAGTTCAATCCTTGAGAGGGCAATTTAGGGATCTGTGGCAAAAATCTGTCTGGGGATTAGTCCTGCTTTGAGCAGGAGGTTGGACTAGATGACTTCCAGAGGTCCCTTCCAACCCTGATATTCTAAGCCAGGAATATCCAAAGGATCTCCTTGTACACTGCCCACACCGTGTAAAACTATATAGTCTGTTTTAATGTGCTACTTGGTGGTAAAGTTTCTTGTTTAAAATTCTACAAGGAAAATTCTGCCTCCCCTTCTCTCTTATGTGAAATTAAAATTCCACAATTAAAGAAGGAAACCATATGATACATAAAAACTTCATATTAAGATAAATATCTTTTAGATTCTAAACTCTTCATGGCAGGGCATGATTTCTATTACTGTATGTCTAGAAAGCACCTTGATTATCATGGGTGCTGCCATAAACAAATACCTAAAAATAATAATAGCAATTATACTTATTAAATAAAGGGTGTGTCAGACTAGCAGTGTAAATGGTCTCTGGAACTTGGATTGGCAGGACTAAAGGTGCTGGTCAGGGAGTGCATTTTGCCCTTGATGTAAAGTACAGTGTGCTTCACTTTCACTCTGGTCAACTGAAAAAGTAACATCCATGAAGCCTCCAGTCTTCACTAGGAGGGAGGTATTTGTAATACAAAGTCTTGAAGGGACTGAGAAAAAGGGGGAAAGAAGGTAAAATCCTGGATTTCCCATCAACAGATGGGAGGGAAAAGCTAAGCTTGTGACTCACTTGAGTTTTTCAGGCCTATTCTTTTTTGTAAATATGGAAGATGTGATCAAGAAAAGCCTGAAAACTGTTTTTTATAGTAATACCATTTAATGATCAGGTATCGGATACTCAAGGAGATATGTGCACTGAAATGAGGATTTACACCTACATATACATTTCAAACATTTAATTTGCAGTGTGTTTTAAACCCAGTTCAAATCTTCTTTTCATTCCATTCCAGTTCAGTTTAATCTAATCCCTGCCAGCCATTGGCTCTAGCTACACATCAATTTAATCCTGTACTGTAAAATTCTGCATATTTAAAAAGACTTCTCCAAACAGCTTATTGTTTGAGGCTGTAGATATCCTATTACAAACTGCGGGATATATTTACAGCTTGTTGAGTGGGGATTTACAGTATGCTAGTCACTCCCAAGAGCACAGAATTTTGACAGAATAATTGCCAAAAAATACAAGTCTTTCATCTTACTGGAAAAAGGCAATTTTCTGGTATTACTACAATATTACATTGTTTATGAGAACTTTTTTCTTGTAACAATGTCATGTTGCTAATGGCTAAATCAAATAAAAATATATTTGGCTTCTGTGGTATACAAGTCCACCCAAGACTATTGGACAAAACTTCTTTATTACCACATTAAGTTTTGTAACTAAGTGGTTTTTAGGTTAATATTTGCAAAAATTAACTTCAGTTTTCTGAAAAGAACTAATTAGAATTTCAAAAGATTTAAACCACTATTTTTGACTCTATCTTCCCATTTTCTATTAGAGATTACATAAACTAATCATTTTAACAGTTCTTAAAATCACAATGGGGAAGAAGATGCAGTAAATAATGAACGTGTAATTTCTTCAGTTAATGAACCAGTTGTACAACCTTCATTCATACAAAATATTCACTAAAGTGTTTAGTTCTTTGTGTGACTAAGGACCACAGACTCAGATGTAATGCATTGTTAAGAGTTCAAAAGTATACTCTATGAACTTACTCGACACTTCAACATTTAGGGTTTAAAAAGTATTGCTTTACATATATGAGAATGTCATCAAAATGAAGCTTAGAAATATTAATATACCTGGTCATCAGCAAACTTGAGAAGTGCAGCCATAGGGTCTGCACCAGGAGACAGCACAAAAATCAATGGTGCACAGCAGTGGCTATCAGAAAATGCCTTTGACAAATCAAATGGAGGTGGTTCAATAAATGGACGGCCCAGCTTGTCAATGATAAATTCTTGTACCATAGGGATAATCTAGAAAAGCAAATATGTGCTGTATGAAGTATGTGTGTTAAACCTCAAGATTTGTCATTCTGAATATTTTAATATAAATGTCAAACAAGCTACTCCAATTTGTAAAATTATGCACAGGAATAGTCTCATTGAATTCAATGTGTAAGTCTCAGCAGGATCAAGGTTCAAGTGGCAAGGTTCAGGAAATAGGAGGACTAAATAGTTTCAAACAATGAACGATCTTATTTCTGGAGGTATTGCCTCTAGGTCAACTATTAGGCAGATTGGTAGGTCGGTGTACGAAGCTGGAATTGCTACTGCTCATGTTTTATCTGTATTATAGAGAGGATTCCAGTTTCCAGGGCTAATCAGTCAAGCCACTTTTACTAGTCCTAAACCCCAATCCTGTATGTTATTCTGCACAGAGGCCCCCTACACTGAAGTCAATGGCAAACTTACAGGAGCAAAGCCAAAGGTCCTGATCCTGCAAACATGTATGGATGTGCTTCATGTTAATATCATGAGTAGTCCCATTGAAATCATGGTACTAGTCACAGTAGTAAAATTAAGCATGTGTGTAAGGATTTGCACAAACACAAACTAAATGTGGGTGCAGACATACAAATCACAAAACTAGTGGCTAATTTGAAAACAAATAGAAGCAAATGTTTAAACATATGTCATGAGTATACACATTAAAAAAGATTTTCTTAAGATTTCAGTTTCATAATTGCTGGTAGCATTTTTGATTTGCCCATCTCCATTGTGCAACAGATAAAAATCTTAGCACGTCTCCAGAGTGATGCAGTTTAAAACATATGCTAGAACATTTTAATATTTTTTCTTTTGTTGTCTTGAAAAAAACTGCAAAATCTTTTGCTAATGCACTATTAAAGTTTAAACTCTGAAAGAGAAACTGTCAAGAAATGCAAAAGTTTAAGTTTTTAATAGCAGTGTTAACTGAGCCACATTATGTACTATTTCTGTAGCATTTTTGATTACTAGTTAGGTTGTTAAATGCAAAGAGTCTGTATTAGCTCAGTATTAAAGTTACAAATTTAATCATTAAAGTATCAAGAAATACAAAGCTAAGCTCTAAATATCTGTGTTAATCCAGTCACTTTGCACATACTACACACTAAGTTGTACATTTAACAAAGATACACCTTTGAGTGCTAAGAATGTGACAGATGCAGAAATTCCATTGTGACCTCACTTCTCTAATTCTGCTGCTCAGAGACTCACCTGCCTTTACTTAGTTGAAGCACCCTCATGTTTACAGGTGGGAGCAATGAAGCCAATGAGTGAAGTGTCTTTAATATGAGAGGGAGCGGCACAGTACGAGTATTACACTGGCTAGGGCAAGGATCAGACAACAGGTTTTGTTTGTTTTTCTTCTTTCTTTCTTTCAGATGGAGACTTTTTTGAAAGAGCTTAATTTAGCCTGTAAGCATTTGATTGAGTTTAGAGACATGTATGAGTATGAGAATCGCATAAAAACCTTCACAGATTGGCCTTTTATGGAGAATTGCAAATGTACCCCTGAGCATGTAAGTCTGACAATTTTGTCTATACCTAGGAACTATAAGACAAAAATAATAGATTATATAAAATTTCATTAAAACTCCCAAATACTTCATTCTCTTCCCTGATAGACTATGTTAATTAAAAATGCTCTTAAACCACATGTTCAAGTTAAAGCAGGGTTAGGCGTCTCAATTAAGCCTACAGAAGTCAGGAAAAAAGAGGTAAGTACTTTAATGTCCTCCATATGCTGCTCTGAAATGTCACTTCAGTGAGATGAGTGGCTGTGTACAATCAGTCTGGAAGTTTACCTTTCAGGCATAAAGAAAAGGGGATTTAAAAAAAAATTCTGAGTTCTACCTTTCCTGGAACTTCTGGATTAATCTGATACTTGATTTCATGCTGTGCAGACTAAAGTGTTCCCTTGCTCCTGTACCTAAAGTTGCATGCGGTAACAATAGCTACCCACATACATGCTAGAACTCCCTAAATGAACAACTCTTGCTACTTGGATTCTATTGTAGCAAGCTAAATTAACTACGAGAATATGGGCATGGTGGCTTTTATTTTGTTTTGGGGTTTTTAATGTATTAGAAACCTGTAACTTTCACAGTTTTGACTAGCTTGAGAACTGAGGAAGTT